CCGCGGGGAGTTCGTTCCAAAGGGCCGGAGCTGCCACAGAGAAGGCCCTCCCCCGGGTCGTAGCCAGATGGCATTGGCTGGTGGATGGAACCTGAAGGAGACTGGCCCTGTGTGATCTAATGGGTTTTTGGGAAGTAATTGGCAGCAGGCAGTCTCTCAAGTCAGATTCCTGCTGGCTCTGAATCTTCCCGGTTGCAACACTTGTTTGCAAGGTGGATCCAGAGGAGGGAGGGGATCCTTGGATGATGCTGCAAGAACAGCTGCTCAATTTTCTTCCAGTTCTTCTTTCCCTTATGGTGCACCATGGGTAGCGTGAAAGCATGTGCCTGACAGCGCTGGTAAACAGGCAGCCAAACTACTACTTTGCAATTGCATTGTAGTCTCCTGCCTAATGTAACGATAATGACAATAGACCAAGTTGCATACTTATGTTTATGAAGAAAAAGTATGATAAAATGTGTTCATTTTTAGTTAATTCATGCTTTTATTTTTCTTTCTTCCAAGTTATAGTGGTGTTGTTTGCTGCTCTAAAGAGGCAGCGGAAGAAAGAGCCTCTGATCCTCTCTAAAGAAGACATCAGAGACAACATCGTGAGTTATAATGATGAAGGGGGTGGAGAGGAAGATACCCAGGCTTTTGATATAGGCACTTTGAGAAACCCCGCGGCGATTGAAGATAAGAAACTCCGCCGAGATATTATCCCAGAAACATTATTTATACCACGGAGGACTCCTTCTGCTCCAGATAACACAGATGTCCGTGATTTCATTAACCAAAGGTTGAAGGAACATGATCACGACCCCTCTGCCCCTCCTTATGACTCTCTGGCGACTTATGCCTACGAAGGAAATGATTCTATAGCTGAATCCTTGAGTTCTTTAGAATCTGGCACCACTGAGGCAGACCAAAACTATGATTACCTCAAGGAATGGGGCCCTCGGTTTAATAAGCTTGCTGAGATGTATGGTGGAGGCGAAAGTGATAAGGACACTTCCTAACCTGCGGTAGGATATATAGTTCAATTGAGAGGAGGTAACTTTACAGATACGTTTTCCACGTGACAATATTTGATGTTCAGGAGCATTCTCCTACCACTCAGCACAATGTTTCTTTTTCTTCTTCTTTTTTTTNTTTTTACATCATGGCGACCAAAACTGGATGCCGTACTTCAGTTGTGGTCTTACCAAGGCATTATAGAGTAGTACCAACTTTTCATATGATCTTGATTCTATCGCTATGCTACAGGTCCAAAACACCTTCTGAAATATGGTTACCACATATATAACAGTATCTAGAGAGAGATATACAATTTATAGAACCAAAGGCAATCTAATAATTGCAGTGAGAGGACAACAATTAACAATTCCTAATTAATTTAATTTAAAAAGTTAGCAATTTGAAGCATAAAAGAAATTTGCAACAGAAAGTCAAAAGAAAAACAGTGTTAGCTGGAGATTATTTTTGGTGGTTTTTAACTTGCTGTCTGGAATCCCCAACAATCCTGGAAGTAAAATTAATGTGAGAAATACAAATAAAAGAAAACTAGGAAGGGTTTGAAAGAGCGGGGAAAGTGTATAAAAAGGAACATTGAAAAAGAAAAGAGTTGGGCTAAAAGCAGGGACATCAATAGCAATAAGGTAAAGGTAAAGGTTTGCACATATGTGCTAGTAGTTCTCAACTCTAGGGGGCGGTGCTCATCTCCATTTCAAAGCCGAAGAGCCAGGGCTGTCGGAAGATGTCTCCATGGTCATGTGGCTGGCATGACTCAATGCTGAAGGTGCACGGAGCGCTGTTACCTTCCCACCAAAGGTGGTTCCTAGTTTTCTACTTGCATTTTTTCTACTTGCATTTTTACATGCTTTTGAAGTGCTAGGTTGGCAAAGGCTGGGACAAATAATGGGAGCTCACCCCATTACGTGGCACTAGGGATTCAAACCACCAAACTGCCAATCTTTCTGATCAACAAGCTCAGCGTCTTACCCACTGAGCCACCGTGTCCCTCCTCTTCCACAGCAATAACAGCAGATACATATGTGGTGCCCTTCCTGTCATCTTGCCATTTTTGTAGATAACCCTGGATAAGACTATGNTGGAATTCGGAGGAGGCCTAATCTGTGGGATCTAATCGTTCTAGTGGAGGTAACCAATCCAAACTATGAATTTGGCCAAAGGACCCTTTTCTGACTCTCCCAATTACATTAAGTAATTCCATCTAAGAATGTTTAACAAGCTAAATATATTGTTTTAAGACTTTGAGGTAGTAGGTTTGCCAACTCTTGTGTCAACAGTCTTGTAATAACATTTGACCGTTTACTTTGGAAGTGGGGAAAATCTTTATGCCTTTGTGTACAGCAAGGCTCTGTTAGCAGAATAACTTTCTGAAGAGACAAAATTAAACAGTACTTACTTTAAACAAATGTTTTTGTTAGGCTATAGCTCTGAGCATTTTTCTGAGCACAAGTATCTTTAGTAATTGTTTCAATCCATTATGCTTGTATCAAGGTCAAAATAAAACATGTTCTCTATTTATTTAATGGTCTCAAAGCCTTTGTGTCCTGAGTTAAAAATCAGAGTTATAATCCACCTTGAAAAGTTTTCATTTTTCCTTCGGTAACATAAATGGATTTTGAACAATTGCACCAACTTGGTTCAGTGCAAACTTTATGTGGAAAGTCTAGACCAAGGTCAAACTTTGGATCTCCTCAAGATGCTTTACATTTCATCTCCCATCAACCACAGCCAGAATAGGATCACTGGGAGAAGTTATGAGAATCCAGAACAACTGGAGGCATCATGTTGCCTGATTTGCTCATAACAAATATCACCTCAAATATTTGTTTGGAACTCAAAAGTGTGCTGTTTTGATCTCTACATCCAAACCACTGTTTCATCTTTTTTTAGTTCTTTAATATTGTCAGCATCTAACTTTATTTCTTAGCCTCAAAGTGGGCAAGTATTAGCTTGTACCTGTGACCTCTAAAATGAGTTTTGCTGAAACAGCCTTTATAATCGGATCCATTTTGATGTTTTTCACAAATAATATTTATATTGGAATACTGGAGGAAAGGATATTTGAAGAAGAAATGAAGGGAAAGCTGCCATATATTTTGATCCTTTAACTATTTAAAATATTTGGAAATATCACACTGGGTAGAAATATTTCTCCATCTCAATGCTTTGCCATCTCAAAAATTCCCTTTGAAAAGGGAGTTTATAGACATGAGCAGACTATAGTTGGGGTTTTATGCTTGTTTATCAGATTCGAAAGACCACTGACTCTACAGAGAAACTCTGGGCATTATAACAAATTTGATAAATGTGTAAATAAATAACTCTGAAACTGTAATGTCAGATTTCCACAGATCAGGAAATGTGGAATGTGAAACATTAACCACAAAATCACTGAAAATAAAGATATGCAATAATATGTNCCCGGATTGTTGTTGGGGGGCGATATGCTGACTCTGTAAACCGCTTAGAGAGGGCTGAAAGCCCTATGAAGCAGTATATAAGTCTAACTGCTATTTTGTTTTCACTTTTTAAAGCATTTTTTTTTACTACCAGCTCTGGTGAATAGGTAGGGAAAAATGCTTTAAAAAGTGAAATAAAGAGGGTCTGATGGTCGCATGCTTACAGCTGATCCATGCAAACTTCAGAACCATTTAAAAAAAAACTTTTGAAAGCATTTTTTCCTACTTATTTGCCCTACCCAGCGGGGAAAAAAATGCTTTAAAAAGTGGGAAAAAGTTGGTCAGACTCACCCGGTCACATGACCCCCCTCCCCCACCAAGCCACACTCACAGAACCAGTGGCAAAAAAAAATCAGATTTCACCACTGAACTGGACTTTCTTGTTTTTTTTTCTTTTTCTTTTGAAGATGTTTCACTTCGTATCCAAGAAGCTTCTTCAGCTCTGTAAGGAGAGTGGGGAATGGAAGGAATTATATTCTTTGCAGACAGCTGGTCATTTGCATCCTTTTAGAGGGTGGTTGAAGAACTTGGAGGCTTATCTGTGTCCTCAGGGTCACCTGAGTGGTGCTCCTGTATTCTGCAATTTTTCCTCTGGGAGTAAAACTGGATTTCCTGGGGGGAAAGCACCTTTGGGACAACCGTGGCCTGGATGACTGAGAATCTCTAAAGATTTCAAGTGTCCTAACTGTGAGGAACTTTCTCCTTTTCGTTCTAGGTTGGCTCTCTCCTTGATTAATCTACAGACATAGCTCTGGCACATTTTTCTCTGCCAGTTAATCATGAAATGCAATAGACTTTGGGTATTCATATAAGATTATCCTACAAATTATTGGTCATACTTTGAATTATATTGCTTACAGAGATATCCGGTCTGTACACATGCAGCTGTTAGCCTGTATGTAACATAAACTAAGCTATACGTGACCCATCAAAAGCGCAAACGTCATAAGCACACCGACAACACCGCAGCGCTAAAACCGCGATTTCAAAAGCGCGTCGAAAACAGCGCGCCGACAACAGCGCGCCGACAGAAGCACGATTTTATTTAAGGTAAGATTTACAGTTAGGTTTAGGGTTAGATTTAGGGTTAGGTTTAGGGTTAGGTTGAGGGTTAGGTTGAGGGTTAGGTTGAGGGTTACGTTACAGCGCACTTCTGTCGGCACGCTTTAGGGCTAATTAGTCGCTCATTCGTCGTGCGGTTTTGTCACCGCGCTTTTGACACTGCGGTTTAGTCAGGCGCGCTTTTGTTGTGCGCGCATTTGATGGGTCGAACCAGAAGCAACCTCCAGTTCTTCCACTGTCTGTCTGTCTGTCTGT